AATTTTTGAGATATATTATTTTATGTTTTCATTGAACATGACATGAAATTACTATTTTGGCCTTAAATGTTGAACTTGAAAGCATGCCTACCTTATTATGTTGGAAATTACTGTAATCGGACTCAGTTGTGAAGCTCGTCACTACTTTCAGTTCTTTATTTAGTATGGTTACTTGCTAAGTTATTTGTACTCATACTACACCCTGCAACTCGTGTGCAGACCCAGGTACTTCCGGATACGGCGGTTGCTAGTTCTCGGAGTTTCATCTGTTGGAGATTATCGAGGTAGCTGCTTGACGTCCGTAGACCTTGGCTCTCTTCCTTTTCAGTTTTTGTACTATTCTAAATTTTTAGACAGTGTTTTTAGCAGTCAGACTTTGTTATCATTTAGATGCTCATGTCTTAGTGACACCGGGTTTTGGGAATGTATTGTTATGTCAGTAATTTGTGAGATTTTCTATGAAATTCAAATATTATGTTTTTAAACTTAAAAGAAATTGTGGTTTATTAAAGTTGCCGGCTTGCCTAGTCTTGAGATAGGCGTCATTACGACAGGTTAGGATTTTGGGTCGTGACACAACTACTCTCTAGTGGTATTATCACTATTGACTACGTAAAGTCAAGAGATAACGTGTCGGATCCACTTATAAAAGGCATATCTAGAGAGACCGTTGAAAGATCATCGAATGGAATGAGATTAAGGCCTAGGACAAGTCATCATGGCGGTAACTCTACCTAGCAGACTGGAGATCCCAAGAGCTAGGTTCAAAGAGATCAAACAAAGTTATGATTGACGGTTCAACATTGTCAAATAACTCAACCCATTCTCGTGATGAAGACAATGTTCAGAAATCAGGGTAAAGCATTAAGGCTTTTTGATGAGTCATTAAAGCTTAAAGACTTTTAGTGATTTACTAAGTCTGGTAGGAAATGACCAGATAGTGTGTCTATAGGATTATACGTTTAGAAATCACCTATGTGAGTGTGAAGTATAAGCCGCTTTAATGGGAGTGAAAGTAAAGGCCCATTCTCTAAGCACTCATGAAAACATGCGGTGTTCATGGCTAAAACGAACACAAACGTGAGAACCATAGATGGTTAAGGGTTGATTGTGTGACTTATGTCGTCTAGGTATACAACAAAGCTCGATAGTTCAAAGATATCAGATCTACCGATTGACCGAGTATATCCGATAAAAGTTCACTAAGAAAAGTTTAAAGGGAAACCTACTTATCCAGATTCAATTAATCCTAGCATGTAAATCACACATTCGTTCGTGCATTCCCTTGCTGCTTCGATTCTCAATAAGCTCGGGGTGCAAATGCCAACATTCAATTTCATCATGTCCTTGTAGTTTACACTCCTTACAATATTTTGGTAGCATGTCATACTGAATTCTCACCCATTCTGTTCGAACACCACCAGAAGCTTCATCATCAATATCCAATCGCACCTTTTTAGGTAGTTCGGCCAACAAATCGACAAGAACTTTTACTCTTGCGCAACTCGGCCTAGTTTTATTTGTAGTTGCCGCATCAAGACACACTGGCCTTCCCATAGCTGTAGCCAAAGAAAATAGAGTTTTCTTTACAAAAAAGGTAGGCAGCAGTCCAGGAAAAGAAATCCACGCCATCGCCATCGGAGTTTCTTCACCTGCCTTAAATTTTGCATCGTAGATAAGAGTACGCAATTGGTATTCGTACCCATCTTTGGCTTTGATGTAGTACGTACTCTTCGACATGAAATCGAGGAAATCTTGCCATAGAGTTAATCTAATTAACACATGACGGTCTCTAAAGAATCCGATATTACACTCACATTTGATACCACATTGAGTTGGAATTATTCGGCGAAGCTCGTGAATCTCTGGAGAACCATATGAAAGCTTGCCAACGACAACATATTGGAGGCCTTCAATCATGTTCATTCTATCTACTTCTGCCTCTGTGAATTTAACCACTGGTTGGTCATTCAAATACACTGCTCATCGCAGTGGAATGGGTTGAATTGAAGCTGCAGCAGTAGCCATCACTGGAAGATTTAAAGAATTTGGTTTCAAAATCTTAGAGTAATCTAGATGGGCTGGGTTGGCGTTAGTTGTTTTATGTTGTTGTGCAACGCTGGGGAAGGGCAGATCAGCCGGAAAATCCAGCTGGTCGCCGGCCATTGTGGCCATTGAAGCCTAAAGCTCCAGCTTGTCCGCGATGAACAACAACGAAGTCACTGTTCATGGTACTGTTTGGCACTGTTCACTGCTACAGTGACGACAGATATTTTTTTAAGATCGATTGATTGATTAATTTTTTTGGACAAATTTTTTTCAAATATTTAATTAATTAACGAAACCTGCGACCCGATTCGTTTCTTTTCCAGATTATTTTAAATCCTTTTTCCCAGAATATTTCAAACGAGAAACATTTCCACATGTTCCAACAGCCATGGCTGTTTCTGAAAGATTACAAACCTTTTTAGAAACAATGCCAGAAAATGACTATAAATATGCCTTGATCCCAGAATCTTTCCTTACGAAATTTTTTTTAGCTTCTTCTCCTTCTTCTGCACAATTAAAATTCCAGTGTGGTTTACAGCCTTCGAGTGGTTCGCTGTTTCACCGGTGTTTTTGGTACCAACACTCTGGTGAGTTAAATCGTTCTATCTTTAGAGGATAATATTCCAGCACATCGGGTATTTGAGGGGAATAATTTTCTTAAAGACACACTGTGCATTCAGTGGGCTCGATTTTATTCCGAAATTATATTTCAGATTCAGCTTCATTATTTCGACATTTTGTTGCTACTAATTTTCTGTTTCTTCTTCTGTTTTAGAAAATTTACTATTTTATTATTTATTATAGTAATACAGATTGTCTAACAAAGATTGCTCTTGCGAGTTAAATAAAGTGAAAAGGTAGACTTTTTTGTTTCTTTTAGTGAAACCCCATANGGGGGGAGTGAAGTTGGCTCTTGGTTTGAGCCTTTGTGCTTATATTCCCAGAAACAATGGATGGTAATAATGACAGTGGACGTTCTGCAGTTTCTGCCAAGTTCGACAAAGCTAATACCTTTCACAAATAATAATTTCTATTTCTACTCAAACTTTATCATTATTATTTATTTAGTAGTGCAAATGAGCAGCTTTCAGTGATATAGATTCAGTAATGCAGTATATGAATAAATACATAGTGGAATAACTCATTGAGGCAAATGAGCAAACACCTTATGACCATCTTTTTATACTAAATAAGAGAGTTTATGTTGTTCTCCCAAGACAAATTTAAATAAATTCAATCCAGCAGCACTTGCGATTCCGGGAAAAATAAAATTAAAATTTATTATCCACTTTCACTTCAGAAATTGGATGCAAAAATAAATTTAACTTAGTTTAAACAGTCTAATCCAATAGAACTTCTGATGCAAAAAGGACTTTAAAGAAGCTATGGATAAAAGGCGAAAGAGATGGCAAAGATAGAACCATATGAAGGGTTACAAAATAGGCGTTATGGGTCAACGTGTTATAGTGGTATTGCAAGTGGGGACACAAAAAAGTAAACTTAGACCAAAATGGCCCTTGGTTGGCAAGTTGGCATGACGACCCCCAACTGCTTCCCAAGCGGCTTCTATATAATAGTATGGCTTTGGTAACCAGGCGTCAAAGCTGAAAATAACGGGAGCAGCACTTGTCGTCACCCCTAACTTTGTTATTGCAAAAAGAAATTGATAGGAGACAGTGGTAACAACTTGAAATCTCACATGAAATAAGGAAAAATGAGAGATCAATTAGATAATGAAGCTATGGATAAAAGGTGAAAGAGAGAGCAAAGATAGAACCATCTGAAGGGCTACAGAATAGGCGCCATGGGTCAACGTGTTATAGTGGCATTGAAAGTGGGGACACAAAGATGTAAAATTAGACTGAAATGACTGTTGGTCGGCAAGCTGGCATGACGACCCCCAGCTGCTTCCCAAGCAACATCTATATAGTAGTATGGCTTTGGTAACCATGCGTCAAAGCTAAAAATAACGGGAGTAGCCCGTGTCGTCACCCCGAACTTTATTATTGCGAAAAGAAATTGACAAAAGACAGTGGTAACAGCTTGAAATCTCACATGAAATAAGGAAAACTGAGAGATAATGATCAGAGAACGAAGCTATGGATAAAAGGCGAAAGAGAGAGCAAAGATAGAACCATTTGAAGGGCTACAGAGTATGCGCCATGGGTCAACATGTTACAGTGGCGTTGCAAGTGAGGACACAAAGAAGTTAAATTAGACCTAAAAGACCAAAATGACCCTTGGTCGGCAAGATGGCATGACGGCCCCTAGATGCTTCCCAAGCAGCTTCTATATAGTAGTATGGCTTTGGTAACCAGACGTCAAAGCTGAAAATAATGGGAGCAACACGTGTCGTCACCACGAACTTTATTATTGCGAAAAGAAATTGACAAAAGAAATTGATAACAACTTGAAATCTCACATGAAATAAGGAAAACTAAGAGATCAATCAAAGAACGAAGCTATGGATAAAAGGAGAAAAAGAGAGCAAAGATAGATCCATCTGGAGGGTTACATAATAGGCGCTAGGGGTGTCAATGGTTCGGTTCGGCCAGTTATTTTATAAAATTTGTACCATATCAATTTTTCGGTTATTTTATTATGTATAACCAAAATTAGACTTTTCGAAACCGTCTCAGTCATGTCGGTTTCTCTTCGGTATCGGTACGGTTAGGTTAATTTTTAGTATTTTTTTAAATGTCATATAAAAGTCATCCGTAGAAGTAGAATGCAATAACATACGTACTTTTATAGGACTTAACAAAACTCTCTAGATATTTTTACTATTAAAGTGTGATGAATTAAGAAAACATGAAAGATAGCCAGAGTAGAGATCCATCAGCTATTCTATAGCAACGTAAAAGAAACTAAGCAAAGAGAGAAAAAAAACCACGGGTGGAAAGATATATTTTAAACGGGACTTAAAAGTGGCTTCGTGGGGTCGTTTCCACTCAATTTTGGGTTTTCACGGGAACGCGGCGTTCACACTTCATAGGAGTGCAAAGTTTATGAGAGGTAGCGCGTAAAATTCATTCAGTCATTTCGTCGAACAGTTTCGTGATAAAATATAGCTCGCTTCTTGTGGATGGAAGTAGCTGAATTGGATTTATGTCTCGAAAAAGACTTGCATTCTCCTTCTTCCTTCGTGGGAATCACGGTCACCACTATCCCAATTTGCCAAAAAGTAATCTAATTGGTCTTTCTCGATCCACCAGTAGTGTCCTCGTTCCCCAGCGGAGTTTCCCACATGGTTTTGCTCTCTCAAGGTCTAATAGGGTTAATTTCTTCAATTCGGGAATCAGGTTCTCTACTTTTTCTTCCTCAAGCAATTCATGCAGTGATTCTGAACAGGAAGATAGTAGTGAACATTCAGTACTAGATCATAAAAAACCATATTCTGATTTAGATCTCGAAACTATTGAAGCTATTTTTAGAGAACCCGGAAGCAATGCTGCTCAAGTGCATAACAAGCTTGAGCAATGTGGTGTAAGGCCCACACAAGAACTAGTAGCTGAGGTGCTTTCCCGTGTACGGAATAACTGGGAAGTTGCATTCACTTTCTTCATTTGGGCCAGTAAACAAACAGGTTATGTGCACTCTGTGCGTCAGTACCATTCTATGATATCTATACTTGGCAAAATGAGGAAGTTTGACACTGCGTGGTCATTGATTGATGAAATGAGAGGTGGGAAAGATAGACCATCTCTTGTGAATCCTCAGACACTCTTGATTATGATAAGGAAATACTGTGCTATTCATGATGTGGGGAAAGCTATCAGTACTTTTTATGCGTTTAAACGGTTTAAATTCGATATGGGAATGGAAGAATTTCAAGATCTTTTATCCGCGCTTTGTCGCTACAAAAATGTAAAAGACGCGGAGCACTTGCTTTTTTGCAATAAGAATGTTTTCCCGTTGAATACCAAGAGTTTGAATATCATTCTCAATGGATGGTGTCTTGCCCTTGATGATTTAAATGAGGGAAAGAGAATTTGGAGGTTCATGAAGGAGAAAGGGATTCCCCGTGATGTTTTTTCGTATTGTAGTATCATGTCTTGCTATTCGAGAGCCGGTAGACTCAATGTAGTGCTTAAGCTTTTCAATGAGATGAAATTGAATGGGGTTGCAGCGGATGTTAAAGTACACAATGCTGTGATTCATGCTCTTGCGAAAGGCAGGCTGGTTAAACAAGCTAGGAGTGTGATGAAGATGATGGAAGAGAATGATCTCACTCCAAACACTGTTACTTATAACTCATTAATCATGCCTCTCTGCAAAGCTCGATTGCTAGATGAAGCTCAGGAGGTCTTCAATGAGATGATTCAACGAGGCATACATCCTACTGTTCGAACTTACCATGCATTGCTTCGTTGCCTTAGGACGGGAGAAGAAGTGTTCGAGCACTTGCAGAAGATGAATATGATGGGCTGTATTCCAACTCATGACACTTATATAATGTTAATTCGGAAGTTCTGCCGATGGTGCCAGCTTGATAATGTCTTCAAGCTGTGGGGCGAGATGAGCAAGAATGGCTTGGACCATGATCGGAGCTCATACATAGTGCTGATACATGGACTCTTTCTGAATGGAAAAATCGAGGAGTCATACAAATACTATCAAGAAATGAAGCAAAAAGGTTTATTGTCGGAGCCCAAGATAGATGAGATGCTTCAGGCTTGGGTAGCTGGCAGGAGCGATTTTCAAGAGAATAAAGTAAAATGCAGTCAGGAGAACAAAGAGAGGGTCAAATTTGAAAAAGCCGATAAAGAAAGGGATTACCTTAAAATACCTGAAACACGAAGAGTTATGAGAGAACGCGGCTTCTCCTTTTGGGATTAGTAGATTAGGTGTTGATTGCTAAATTAGCGTAGGGATTCTGGCTCGGGTTCCTGACCAACAGGTGCACGAGGTTTCTTCCATTTAGATTGTTTTGCAGAATGTTCTTGGTTTGCTACTGGTCCATGTACTGGAAATGTACGATTATGGATAAAGCAAGTTGCTTCTCACATATACTTGGCAATTCTTGTGATCTGAGATACTTGATATAATTCAGTTACCTATCCGTAGTTGTTTGTCTTAAGAAATTCTCTTCACATTTCCTAAGATAACTCTGATCCATCGGATTATATGCCAAAAACTTGATTTGCCATGTTAATGCCGCAACGTACGTTTGTGTTTCCATTCCAGAAGAAAAGGTTTTTGACTTTCCATTGGTACAGGGGAGGATTTTGGGACTTGAACAGGGAGTGATCAGAGAAGAAACAAAACTTTGTAGATGGTATTTTCAATTCAATACTAGTGTTCCCTCTTCCCTTCAGTATCGCTAGTTTGAATGGTCATGCCATTTCCTTTTTTAAAACTTCGGATAGAATGTGGTTTTTGGTTAATTAATAAGCATATCGTCTGCTTCTGATCTCTTGCTTGTGATATATCTGAAATGGTTACTTCTTCAACATATCTGAAATGGATTCTATGATCTTTTAGGATTCTTTGACTGCTGCTTAATGTGCCAACATACTCTACGAGCTGCTAAATGACTTGGAGAGCTCTTGAGGGTAAAAAATCAGTTTGAGGATATTATATTGTTTCATGCGTGCGATATATTACCCTGAGCACATATCATATATTAAGTTTATCCTTGTCAGAGATAGATCTTTTTTTCTTTTCTCTGGTTACTTGTTAGAAGATAACTGTTGAGAACTTTTTGTACTTTGCTTGCTACCAGCTAGCTAATTTGATGAAGTTTGACATATGCGCTAAAAGCACAGGCTTTATTATAATCTTCATACTGCTAAACAAATACTCAAGTATATATAATCGTCATTTATTATTGAAAAAGAATGAGGAAAGGACATTCTAATTTCTATGGCAGAATTAAGGTGATTTAGTTCAAGTCACATTGGACTCTGCTAAAGTATAATCTTTACTGCTGCATCATTTTCCTTTCATATTCTTGTCAAGTAATAATAGTTGACACGTCCAAATTCCGAAAGGGGGAACCCAAAGCAAAAATTTGGACACCTCAAACACCAAACACAAGACGACAGTAAGCAATCAAACCTACGACACACAAACCAACCTAGGCATTATTTTTTATTTGGAAAAATGGCAATGTATAGTCACCCTGAAAATATTGGCCGAAAATTAGATATTTTTTTTTATATTTCTTGTATATATATATATATATATATATATATATATATCTGCATATTATATACAAAGAAATATACAAATTTTATATATTTTTACAGCTATCATATATAAGTAGTGTTGGCAACGGACTAAAAGTGATCTTTACCCTTTATTTTTTCTTAGTGGTCTGTGGTCCAATTCTCTTCATCTCAATCTCCCACTATCTTTTTTTCCCCTCTTTCTCCTTTTAGACTTTGCACTCAGAACCAAATTCAAAATATTAAATAAGTGTATATATATTATCCCCTCCGTTTCAATTTATGTGAATCTGTTTGATTGAGTATGAATTTTAAGAAAAAAATGAAGACTTTTGGAATTTGTGGTCCTAAACAATTCAAAAAGGGCCCAGAGTATTTGTATGGTTATAAAAGCTTCTCATTAAGGGTAGAATTGTAAGTTTAAGCAAAATTGTTTTCAAATTTAGAAAGGGGTCATTCTTTTTTGAACGGACCAAAAAGGAAATAGGTTCACGTACACTGAAACGAAAATAGTATTATATCATTTCATATTCGTTGCTGGCAGCGAACCTGCTTGTTCTATATCATTTCATATGTGAACCTTCTTATGTCCAAAAGCCCACTTTGCCTTGCATTTCTTTTAGTTTTCCTCATATAAAGGTCCAGTAAATTTGCGCTTTTTTCTTAGTATATTGCCTTTTATTATCAGCATGTTGTTTTACTTTAACTCATCTCATCGGTATATCTCAATACCAGGAATCACAGAAAAGAATATTAAATCAAAACCGCGCTACTATCCTATTAATTGACATAATTGTAGACCAATTTGGTAGCACCTTTGTTTTGAGTAGAAAATATCATTGATATTCCCTTTAGCTTTTAAGTGGGCGGCACATTTTAAACCTTGTGATATTACATTGAATTTATTATTATTGTTGTTGCGTGTTTTAAACATAAAAAACAAAAAGAAACTTTACGCAGTTAGGGTCCATTGATTACAAGGATAAGAAATTATAATCCCAAGATTAAATGTGGGATGATTTTATTCCCACTTGATAGAATTTTTAATTTTCATATCAACAATCCCGCAATATTTACACCACAATTGCATTATTATTTTTATTCCGCACTCTATGTGTGAAAGAGAATCTTGGCGTAACTGGTAAAGTTGTTGTCATATAACCCTTATGGTCTGGACCTCGCGCATAGCAAAAATTTAGTGCACTGGATTGACCTTTTTGTCGGTGATAAGATTTTCGTGATTACTAATTCCTTAAAGTCTTCAAAATCACACATTTGCCTTTTCCCAAGACTTTCCCCCTAAAGTCTTTTAAGAAAGCTAAAATTAAAGTTAAAAATAAAAATTTCTCCAAATTTGTCTAATTTAAACAAAACAAATGTTTTATGATATACCTTATATATCACATTTTTAATTCAATAAACCAAATATCTATCAATATATATATATATATATATACTAAATAATAATTTATTATATAATCTCTGTATTATAATTCTACTTTATAGTTGCAGCATAACTCATGCACAAACTAAACTGAATCCTTATGGCTCGTTTTGTACGAGGGAAAAAGAATAAGTAATCCCATAATTAAATTTGAGATAAGTTTATTCCATATTTGATTGGGATAAAAATCATAGTATTCAGTTATCCCAAATTTGTAGTGTTATATTTATTTTTATGGGAGGGTGAGATAATAATTCTGAGATAGTTAATATTTGGATAATTTATTTTCTAACCAAATGACTCCTTGAGATAAATTAATCAATATCTTTAAAAGTTTTTGAAATTAGAGCCGAAATTTAAACAGTGCATCAGTCCTGTCCGCACCTTAAGACGTGCTGAATACAAAACAAATTAATTTGTATTCAGCACATGCAACCCACTTCTGACAGTAACGTGCCTACTCTGAGCTAGAATTTCGACTATCAATTCGGTTGAACTAGTAATTTGTGTTTAAATAGTATATTTGTATTAAAAATTAATTAAATATTAAATTTACAAACTCACTTATTAATACTTGAAGTCTCTTTTAAAATTGAGAACCCACTGTACCCGTGTTATTGCTGCAATTTTCACTGTCATGGCGTAAAAAAGGGCGTCGCATTTCCTACGAATAAAAGAAGAAGAAATCGTTGATATATTACATTTTTCTGTTTTTTCGTGGTGCTTCAGATTTGTAAGCTGACAACTTTAACCGATCATTTTCACGACAACGATCGATAACTGGCTATGACCAACTTCCTTTTTCAACGGTTGATGTCTCCCTTGTTTCTTTCAGAAAGTTAACAACAGACTTATAAATATCTTTTTTCTACACTTTCTCTACAGTGCATCTTCTACCAATTCTGCTTTCCTTAGTTTTGAGGTATGCCCTTAACATCTTTTCTTTCATATCAAGTGTAGTTCTTTTTTCTGAGCTTATTGTTGCCTGTTAATTCTGAGATTTTCTTGATTTTCATTCAAGTACTTTATATATGAGCTCAATTTTATGTAAAATGAGTAGGTCTGAATATAGAACATAGAACTGAGTGAATGATGAAAGTATTTGCTGCCCCCTTTTATTATTTGTTTTTTTAAAAATAAATCTAATGGTGGCAAGAATCTAAAGATAGTCCAGATAATCTGTGATCATATTTCAATCTTTTCTTTCATACTCTATTTGTTTCAAAAATATTGACATTATTTCCTTACTAGTCTGTTTCAAAAAGATTGGCACATATTGACACTACTTCCTTATCTTTTAAGAAGATTGGCATATTCATTATTTCCTTAATAGAAAGCATTTATAGCCACACAGATGCTATAAGACCACAAGTTTCAAAAGTTTTACTGCCATAGAAACGCTATGGCTTATTGAATATCACATATCTCAAAAGTCATTTTTATTAAAATTTGTGCCAAATCAAAATAGGACAATCTTTTTAAATGAGGGAGTATCAAGTATAGTTTTTTCTTAAAATTTATTTTATTTTATGGTTACCGGCAAATTCTGGTGTTTTCTGGATTTTCATACAGGTAGGTAGATATATGAGCTCAATTTTAAGTTAAGTGAGCAAAGCTGCATCTAGAATATAGAGTTGAGTTAGTAATGCAAGTTTTTGCTACCCCCTTTAATTTTTTTAACTTAAGAATCTAATGGTGGCAAGAATCTAAAGATAGTCCAAGATAATCTGTGATAAAATTTCAATCTTGGTAATGCATGATTTAATGTTTGTTTTTCTTCAATGCCCTTGTCAATGTCTTTTATCTTTTTTATGGTTTTGGAGAATTTTGTGTGTTTTTTTCCCCACATTTAGAGCTTAGAAAGTGTATATGGTTTAACACAGATACATATAACGTATATGGTTTAACACAGATACATATAACAAATCACAGTTGGTATTATTGACAATGAGCTTTAATTTGAGAACTTATGAATTAGGTTAAAATGGATCCAAGGTTCAATAATTTTCCAACTTCTATGAATGGATTCAGTCTGGAGAACCAATCCGTACACATTTCTTCGAATCGTTGGAAGAATAATGAACCAAGATTTGAAGCTATTTATCAAGATCAGAAGCTAGTCAATGGTCCAAGATTTGAAAATAACTTTGTCCCAAAAAATATTGGTGGAATTCAATCAGTTTCTAATGACCCTTTACCAACAAGCAATATAGCATTGACTTCTGATATTGGTGCTGAGGATGAATACAATGAAGACTTTGATTTCTCTGATACGGTTTTGAGCTATATAAATCAGATGCTTATGGAAGAAGATGTGGAGGATAAGACACATATGCTTCAGGAGTCGTTGGAATTTCAAGCGAAAGAGAAGTCATTCTATGAGGCCCTCGGCAAGGAATATCCGCCTTCACCTCAGCAAAACCTGTCGATTACTTACCAGAATGGTGAGATACCAAATGAGTACTGCTCAGGAAGTCTGTATAATTTTACAAGTAATAGCAATGACAGTAGTGATTACCTAACTGATCCAACGGTTATTAACATTTCCAATGATCTTAAGTCCTCTTATGTACAAGGCCTTTCAGTTTGTAATGGTACTTACTCTTCGATTAGCTCATCGAGTAGCATAAATAATATTGTAGATGGGTTCTTAGACTCTCCTGTAAGTCCTCTTCATAACCCTGATATATATAACGACAGCTACCCGATTTGGAACTTTAGGAAAGGAGTGGAAGAAGCAAACAAGTTCCTCCCAACTAATATTAAGTTGTTGGACAATGTGGATATCAATGGCTTGTTGCCTCTGGAGAAAAGAGGAGAAAGTGGTTGTGTGGCTGCTCGGGTGGAGAAAAGGGATGAGGGAGAGGTTTCACCTACAGAGCCGAGAGGGAGGAAGAATCCTCATAGGGATGATAAGGATTTACTAGAAGAAGAAAGAAGTAGCAAACAAGCAGCTGTTTTTACAGAATCAACAGTTCGTTCAGAGGAGTTTGATATAGTTTTGCTGCATAGCTTGGGAAATGGGAAGGAAGCATTGGAAGCTTATCGCGAGAGCTTGAAGAATGCTAGAACGAAAAATACGGTGCAGAATGGGCAATCAAAAGGATATAATGGAGGGAAGGGCCGCGGCAAGAAACACAGTGGTAAAAAGGAAGTCGTAGATTTAAGGACTCTTTTAATAAATTGTGCACAGGCTGTTGCTGCTGATGATTGCAGGAGTGCAACTGAACTGCTGAAACAGATCAGACTCCATTCATCTCCTTTCGGAGATGGCAATCAGAGATTGGCTCATTGCTTTGCGGATGGTATGGAGGCACGCTTGGCTGGCACTGGTAGCCAGATTTATAAGGCCCTTGTCAATAAAAAAACATCAGCAGCCGATTTTTTAAAGGCCTATCACTTGTATCTCGCGTCATCGCCATTCAGGAAGCTTTCGGATTTTGCCTCAAACAAGACAATCATGACAAAAGCAGGGAATGCTGCAAGGGTCCATGTCATTGACTTTGGTATCCTCTATGGCTTTCAGTGGCCTACGCTTATTCAACGTATCGCAGCAAGAGAAGGTGGGCCCCCTAAGCTTCGCATTACTGGTATAGAGTTTCCCCAACCTGGTTTCAGGCCAGCAGAAAGAATTGAGGAAACAGGACGCCGTTTGGCTGATTATGCTCAGACCTTTAATGTTCCATTTGAATACCATGCAATTGCAAAGAAATGGGAAACTATCAGACTTGAGGATTTAAAGCTTGAAAAAGACGAATTTCTTGTTGTCAATTGTTTGTATAGATTTAAGAACTTGCCTGATGAGACCGTGTTAACTGACAGTTCGAGAACTCTTGTTCTCGATCTTATAAGGAAAATCAATCCGGACATTTTCATCCATGGGATTGTCAATGGGGCCTATAGTGCCCCATTTTTTGTCACGCGTTTTCGTGAGGTCCTTTTTCACTTTTCTGCACTTTTCGATATGCTGGAAGCTAATGTACCACGTGAGTCTCCAGAACGAATGTTAATTGAGAGAGAGATCTTTGGGAGGGAAGCCCTGAATGTCATAGCTTGTGAGGGGTGGGAAAGAGTTGAACGGCCAGAGACATATAAGCAATGGCAAGTTCGTAATCTAAGGGCAAGGTTTATGCAGATACCTTTTGAACGGGAAGTCATGAATAGGGCAACGGAAAAGGTGACATCAAGCTATCACAAAGACTTTGTACTCGACGAAAATAACAAGTGGCTATTGCTAGGGTGGAAAGGGAGAACAATATATGCATTATCTTGTTGGAAACCTATTTAAGAAATCTGCAAGGCATGTTTTTAACATGCTTTCTTTTGAACATAAAGTTGTCCTTTCACATATTTGGAGAAATCAAACAATACAGAGGTAAGTCTCTTGATCTTTTTCACATGTTCTCTTCTTGTTCCTCTTCATCTTTAACATTAAAAAGTGACTGAATATGCCACCCATGCAGGTAAATGGCGAGCTTGTGGTGTTGTTAAAGCTAATAAATATTTGCTCACACGAGCGATATGTTGCTAAACTTCAGCATGCTTGTTCAGTACTGATCAATATATGATCAGACAAGGTGAGGCTTCAGAAAATGTTCTTGCCAACCGATGATGAAGTTGAATTACCAGCAGATAATCGTTGCTGCAAAGTGTGTAGCACATACCTGCTACCTTTCACCAGCACAAGTACCGCTTGTAACTCTCCTCATCATCGAGTTTTAGGCAGATATGAAAAGATTGCCTAGTATTTTTTTGTCTCTAGTGGAATTTGATTTCTTGTCGGTCGAGACCTTTTATCCCATTTCACTGACCATAAGGCTACACCCTGGGGTGCCTTATGTGCAAGGCGTTTGTTATTAAACATTACTAGTGTTAGAACCCGCGCGATGCGCGGAAAATTTGATAGAATATTAATCTTATAAAATTATGATCTAATATATTAGACTATATTTATAAATATTAGTTATATTTTATTATTTAATATACTGTGCAGAAATATAACAAAATCTATTCGAACTCAAAGGATACACATCATATAGTAACAAATAAATTGTTTGTTCCTTATTTATTCTTATTGTCAAATTAGCAAGTAGTTAATACTATACATTTACTAATGTGACTTTTTATTAACTTGTCAATCGGCTTAATATTTTGATACTATTTCTCTTATAATATAACCTAGATATATATTTTTACTCTTGAAATAAAATTATTTTTTAAACTTATGTTATATTGTTCAAAAAATTTCAATTATCTAAATTTATTGATAATTCTTTTGAGTGTTATTTATTTATCTTTTATTTTTTAATAAATTTAAAATATAAATATCATAAAATTATCTTTATCCCTTTTTTTCATACATTCTTTTCTACTGTAATATTTGATTAGTTTTCTCATTTTGTAGTTTACTGAATGTAATATTTTATACTAAGTTATAATTTTGAATTCATAAAAAATATAAAGAGATAAGCATTTTATTATTTTTATAAAAAAATCTACTAATATTTTAATAATTATTAATTTTTGTTATATATATAACATGCTTATCTTATATATAATATCATAATAGTATCTTTATATTTTTCATTATGAAATTATTAGTTCTATTTATTAACTAAATTTCCTAAATGAGAAATTTTATTAGTATATACATTTTACGTTATCGCTTGAATATGTTTTTTTACTATTCTTTTTTTATAACCATTTATTTATTATGATTTTAGTTATGTGTATATGTACGACTTTTCTCATCATAATTCTAATTATAAGTGTTATATTTTTATATTTTCCCACAATATATATATATTAGGAAGAAACTACTATCCATTCAATTTGAGTTTTTAGTTTTTTATTTTAAAATAATTTTAAAACTTCAACTTGAAACTGCTCCATAATTTGAATGAGTATTGTTTTTATAAATATTTTTGTTTTTTATTATAAATAATTATAAGATATTTATATTTATTAATTCAAATAGAGTAACCAGTTAATTCAAATTAAAATTCAAAATATTTTTTAGTTAGAAAGGTAGTTTATTTGATCTTAACAATATCACTTGGCTTTTTGTAGTTATGCCACTTGGGTTAATGAGATTTCTTTTTCTTCTACTTTTAATTATAGATAGATATTAGGAAGAAACTACTATCCATTCAATTTGAATTTTTATTTTTTTATTTTTTTTATTTTAAAACTTCAACTTGAAAATACTCCATAATTTGAATGGGTAGTTTTTTATATATATATTTTCGTTTTTTTATTATAGATAATTATAAAGTATTTATATTTATTAATTCAAAAAGAGTAACCAATTAATTCAAAATTTAAAAATCTAATTATTTTTTAGTTAGAAAGGTAGTTTATTTTGTCTTAACAATTCCATTTGGCTTTTTGTAGTTATGTCACTTGGCTTAATGGGATTGCATTTTCTTCTACTTTTAATTATAGATAAAAGATTGTGTAAGTTTAACGAGTCCTAACAATTGCATTTCATTCAGGATCTGATCGTTTAATACTTATGGAACACCAGAGATGTATAATGAACTTTTGTCCAAATTTGCCTTCAAACCAGACACACTAGAGAAATGATTGAAAGCTTGAATCATCAATTGTATGGAAATTCTATCAGCCCTGTAACACATAAGCAAGTCATTAGCAAAGCAAACATGCACCAGCTTCATTCTACTACATTTAGGGTGATAATTGAAGTCCGGGTTATACTGCAGTTGTTTTAAGGATCTATTGAGATATTCCATGACCAAGACAAGTAGATATGGGGACATGGGGTCACCCTGTCTCAGTCCTTTCTTTGCCATAAACTTTGGAGTGATTCCACCATTTATTAAAATGGAATAGCTCACAGAAGTCACACACTCCATGATCCACCCAACAAATTTCCCAGGAAATCCAAATTCTAGCAGAACAGTTTTAAGGAAATCCCATTCCACTGAGTCATATGCCTTCCCTATATCAACTTTGATAATACATCTAGGAGAGATTCCCTTTTGTGTATAACCTTTTACAAGCTCATGTGCCACAATGACATATCTAGGATACTCTTTCCTCCTATAAATGCTGATTGTGAGGCTCCAACTATTTGATCTACTACCAATTTGAGTCTGGCAGTGAGAATTCTTGCTATTAGCTTATATAAAGTTGTACAACAAGCTATGTGTCACAGCCTCACTTTCTTACGCTCGTTAGCGGCACCGAATTTCCTGTGCGGTGCCTGCAGTTTTCCTCGCTGCAGGCCAACCTTTCTCCTTTTCCAGGTTTTCAAGCACGATCATGTGCCTGTGGTGAAGCCTTCCTGGAAGGCATGCTCTAATTGTGCCGCCCGTAATATGTCTAGGCTCATGGCTTCGACATGTCGTGGCGCTTCTCGTCTTAGGATCATAATCCATGCGCGCCCTGGGGTTGGCTAAGGACATGTCTTGTCCTTCGCCTAAGACTGAGCATCGTTCTCGCGTGCACAACCCAATCCTCAAGCTTGACACTCGCCTCGTCTATCCGCACCCAGCTTATGCCTTGCCCGAGTAAGGCAACCTTTAGTCCTTGGCCATTGTTATGTGCGTCTTTTGTGCCATGCCCAAACATATCCCTTGCAACACACTTTCATACCATCTAGTGCAGTGTCGCCCCACAGCTGAACGTTTAGGCCAACGGACCCTTGCTCGCATGGCTGAACCCAAGCCATGCTTACAAGTTGACATATGATGCCCTAAGATAGGTGCATCAAGTATCCAATCGACACAGAGGTCTTTGTCCAATATTTCGGCAGCCCGCGGGGTAGACCGTCCCACACGTCGAGCCTCCAACACCCGTTTGGTGCCCAACGCTAGCCCGAAGGCGTCGCGCCGTCCATAGAGTTCCCTAACTCGTATGGATACCTAGGACACTCCTTTGACTCATACAGGCAGGCCCTTGAGGTTCCCTCTCAAGGTCGCTCATTAGATACGGCTTGGTGGAAGCACGTGTGGGGGAGGCAGGTTGAGCTTTCAACACCTATACCCCCCTTATATATGCTTAAAATTAAAAAGCCCAAGTTTCTTGAGTAGACATGTCTACGTCAGAGAATTAGAAGTGACTTTTCTCACCCGTTCCGAATGAAGTCACAACCCCAAAATGCGGGTTGTGACATCCTCACACACTCATTCTGCCATCGTCCCTGATGACACATCATGGCCTACGACATCCCGGAGTCTACCCCCTCAATTATGTACTTCGCGGCTCCCTTGGTCCTGTAGGTTGGACTTCCTCGAAGTCCTGCTCAAAAGGAGTCGTGCCTCATGCACTTCTCCCCCAAGTATCTTCCAAGCGTGCCTCTACACTTCACCTCCTTTCGGTGTTCACTTAGAAAGTACCTCCGCACTTGTACCCTCTGGTGTCTTACTTTGTGATTGACCCACACTAGTCAATCACACCATGACCCTCGCGGCCTTCATGTCCGTCTGAAGCTTTTCTTTCATTGGTAAGAACATCAACGTGCTTTCTGGCGCAGCTCCAGTAGCTATATCGCTCCTGTAGCCTTTTCGCGCCCTCTGGCATAACTCTCGTAGCCTTTCTCTCCCGTAGCTTTTCCTTGCCCTTAGTACCTTTGAAGATGTGTTTACTTCCGGACTCACAACTTCGCCCTAATGCCTCTTGCATAGGCGGATCCTCCCACACTCAATATGGAGGATACTTCTTAGCGCACACGTCCCACATGGCATTTGGCCAGCTCTTGGGACATCTCTTGGTGAGTACTACATTCTCAAAGTCATAGCATCGCCGCATTCCCGAACAAAGCTCTTTGTTTTCCAACTGTCACTTCCTCAACAAGTACCCAATGCTCCTGGTAGTACGCCAATACTCGCCCTATAGTCAGGTACTCACTCGGTCCTTCTAGCACGGCTTCCCGGTCCGATTGTGCATCGCACTTGGACTCTCAACGGTCCCCGATCATTCGGCGTACCCCTTTCCCGAATGATGACATCTTCCAACTTGGAAATTTACCCAATTCTGAAGCTTTGCTATTTCCTCGAATTCATCTCCTCACCTTGGCAATGCCCTCAGGCAGTCCAAAAGTCTATCCCGTAGGAAAGACACTCAACTGATGCGTTGCACGCATCATTGGAAAGATCTCTGTCGCGATCATGCCCAATGTTTATAGTCCATAGCTCTCACTCTTTGCAATATGGTTGCTCGACCTGGCAAACATGGCCTTCTCGACCATCCGACTCATCGGCATATCACCACATTCAGTAGCAACCTAGACTTCTTCGACCAGCAGTATCGGGTTCTCGATCTCTGGTGGCATATGAACATCAATCTCTGCTTTGACATGATCTCCGCACTGACATCCAAAATGCACTCGCCATCTCCATTATTTGCCTTGACAATGTATCATGGCATAGTATGGCCTTAATCAGCTCTGATACCACGTGTCACGGGCTCACTTTCTTATGCTCGTCAGCGGCACCGAATTGCCCGTGCGGCGCCTGCAGTTCCCCTTGCTGCAGGCCAGCCTTTCTCCTTTCCCAGGTTTTCAAGCACGATCATGTGACTATGGTGAAGCCTGCCTGGAAGGCATGCTCTAATTGTGCCTCCCATAAGATGTCTAGGCTCTTGGCCTCGACATGTCGTGGTGCTTCTCGTCTTAGGATCATAATCCATGTGCGCCCTGGGGTTGGCTAAGGACATGTCTTGTCCTTCGCCTAAGACTGAGCATCGCTCTCGCGTGCACATCCATATCCTCAAGCTTGACACTCGCCTCGTGAATCCACACTCAGCTTGTGCCTTGCCCGAGTAAGGCAACCTTTAGTCCTCGGCCATTTTCATGTACGTCTTTCGTGCCATGCCCATACATATCCCTCGCAACACACTTCCATCCCG